ATTAAAGTACACAGGCTCTGATCGCTTTACAATACAGTACAACGCACAACAGTAACATAAAACGTTGTGTTCTGACTAGAAGAAAATCTCTCCAAATATTCATCATATTGATTTGAAAGCAGAAACGACTTCCGCTGACATTTGAATACAATCAAAAGATTTGATCTCTTTTAAAGTGGCACTTGGTAAAGCATTCCAGTCTTCATTCTTTTCATGCACCTTATTCCAGATCACGCAGCGGCCCTGAGTCTTCTGTACAGCTGGCGGATGCAGTCAGCGTCCCTGTTGCCAGGGCAACCCACCGTCGTTGGTCCTAACCCTTACGCCGTGTACGGCAGCTTCCTGGGGCACGCCTACCGAGGGGTGGAGGCGTCGGCAGCCGCTGCAGCAGCCGCAGCCGCAGCGGCAGCAGCAGCTTCCGGAGACATGCGCAATGGAGGCGCGTCTGTCATGAACGACGTCCTTATGCGTAGCTCTTTCTACAAGCAGACGGTGACGTCATCTCTCGCCGCGGCCTACCAGCGCGGGTTGTACAGATACCACCCGTACCTCCCTCAGGACCGCGTGCGATCGCCTGACACTTAGTGGGATGTATCACGTGCGTGGCTAGGCTAAAACAGGACGGTTATCGCGTGCTTGGAAGTGGAACCAAAGTGGACAAAAGAAATGTAATCCACAGAGAGGAAAAAGATGCTAAATCCGCACCTGATGGACATGGATGGCTGGTGCCTGATGTAAGTGAATTATTGATGGCCAATGGTCAATGGTCGTCGTCACAGCACTTGATCAAACAAAAACAAAGTGAAGCGTGAGTACGTGAGTGACTCTTCTGAAACAGCAGAAAGTTCTGCAGTTAGCTTCACTGACTGAGACTTCTGGACATCCAGTGTGTTTAATGTCTACTCCGGGGATTTCCGAAGACTTCAGGAACCTTGGTGAGCAACTACTGGTTGGTCTGACGACCACTTTGGTTCGCCGGCGAGGGTCAATATCAACCCTATCCGTACGTCGTGTTTTACGATCGTATCCATGCGACGTGGGGAACTCTGTGCCACTACTTAATAAACCCTAAGTGATACGGAATTCTGGCGAAAAGACTTGAAGTCCAAGAGTTCGAAAAGTGTTAGTTTTTTTTCCTTTAAAAAATAATAAGTTTTACGGCAGTGAGAAACTTAAGCTTGTAGAAAGCTGTGACTCTGAAAGAACTCTTGGTTATTCGACATGGCGCTGGGCTAAGAGACACACCACAATAATGCCAGCACTTCTTCGTCTGTTTGTCACTCACAACTCTTTGTGGTATTTCAGTGTGAATTTGATTTGAGACGTTGTAATGATCATTATTATGTTGTGCAAATGTAACAATTGAAACGAGAAAAAAAACTTTGGAAGAGAAAAGTGAGAAAATATTTACTGTACAAACGTTTAGAAGAATGAAAACAGCAAAAGTGTGTAACGTGGTTTGCACTTAATTTGAAAATGTACCATGTATACGAGGGTGTGGTGGCGGAGCGGTTAGTGCATTCGTCTCCGAATCGGAAAGCCCGGGTTCGAGCCTCGGTTCGGACTCGGATTTTTTTTCACCCCCCTCCTGCCCACTCAGCAGTAATGGGTACCTGACTTCGAGTTGGGGAAGTAAAGGCGGCTTGGAAAGGAACTGGCCACCCTATCACAATATGCCGAAGACCCAGAAAGTTGTCTCACTAACAAAGGGATTCTCTATGTCCAGATCGGTTGTGGGAACATCTTTTTACCATGTATGCAATTTTTACGACTTTTAGGGATGGTGAATGAACAATGCGGTTTATGTATGTCAGTGAGAGATTGGGTGTTTGTGGCAGAAGATATTCGGAGGCGTCTCCGGCGAGTACCCAGGAACTATTCGGAGACCTACTCCCGCATACAAATGCACTGCTTTGGGGGGTCAAACTGCGTATTGTTTGCTGCAGATCACGCATATAGCTATTAAAACTGTCGAAAATCAATTATTTTAAAGAAAATTTCAAACGTAACTGCAAAATATGAAATTATGGGTTAAAACCTTTCATACTTTTTTAAAACTTGGTCCAGGGGCACAAAGCATTTTGATTGGTTTTTCTCCGTCTGAGACTGAGATAGATACTGTGTG